AATGTGCTGGACCACAAGGTCAGATTGAACCATAAGGTTGGTGGTTCAAACCCACCAGCCACTCCTCGGAAACCTTCTACAGGGTTGCTATGGGTCAGAACTGGCTTGATAGCACTTAACAACAACAACAACTCTCATTTACAGAGTCCTGGTGTGGTGCCGCAGAATAAGGTGCTGGACTGCGGCGTTGGCAGTTCAAACCCACCAGCAGCTCCTTGGAAACCCTATACAAGGTTCTGAGTCAGAACTCACTCAAAAGTACTTAACAACAACAGCCCATTTACACAGAGTCCTGATAAGGCATTGTAGGATAAGCACTGGACTGAAAGATCAGTTTGAACCACAAGGTTGGCGGTTCAAACTCACTGGCTGCTCCTTGGAAACCCTATACAGGGTCACTATGAGTTGGAACCGACTTGATGATACTTAACAACAACCCAGTTTACACAAGACTAAGCAAAAGTTTTATGAAACATAACTTATCTGTATATTAACTACATAATGCACCATGCTTCCACTAAAATAATTTCATGACCTAATGATGGATCTCAACTCAAAGTTTCAAAATCAGTAAGCATATATGTTGCCTTCTGGCTGTGTTAATTTTGTGTTGTGGCTCTGTGGGTTCATGCGCTGGACTGCAAAGTCGGTGTGAACCACAAGGTCAGCAGTTTAAGCTCATCGGTTGCTTCTTGGAAACCTTATACAGGGTTGCTATGTGTCGGAACCGTCTCAGCGGCACTTAACAACAACATATATTCTTTCACAATTCTGTAGTTGTTTCATTTGGGTTAACACAACCTCCCTGCCCTGCAGATAAGGCTGTAAACGCAACAGTGTGTCTCATAACTAATGTCCCATGAAGATTTGAAGCACATTTATGCATCACTGCTTTATACTGCTGAAAAAGTCTCCCTTCTCTCTATGAACTGCAATTGGGAAAAGAGAAAAAAAACAACCTTGATAAAAGCCCATCCTCTTCCTCACTGCGCCTTTCCTGATTAACAAGGAGAAAGCACGTATTTGGGGTAGGGAAGCAAAGGATAGAGCACTCATAAGATCGAACAAAGTCCTATTTCTTTTTCCTTACATATGAGGACTCACGTTCAAAGTGAGCTATAAAAAAGAGAAGCAATCTATGATGAATATTCTTGATGATTTTCTGAAGAATCCTCATAAAGGCAAGTGTGGCAGGGATCATCTTGGCCATTAGAGGAAATGAGTGTTCTCCTCTTGCTGTGGTTTCTTTTGAAATTGCACAGATTGTCTTTCCTTTAGTCATGGGCCTCAGTGATTCCACCAAGACAGGGGAAAGGAAAACAGTGTGAAACCTACCCCAGTGAATTCTACGACTTGCTAACAATTATTCTGCCCATCCTTTGATTCCATAAACACTTGCCAATCATGTACCAAGCAAGATGCTATAGGTTTAAGGGATACAGTGGTGGGTGGGCACATCGGACAAAATCTACCTTTCATGAAAGGTTAGAATCTGGAGTAGAATGTGTTATTTTAGTCCTATTAATTCATTCTTTCCCACTATTTCCTATACTGAAATGACAGACTTGTGAAAATTCAGGCTTATTCTTACCAATGAGGGTATTGTTAGAATTCAGAGTAGGGAATATCAGCACAGTTCATTGGCACTTGAGTAAATTTTTTGAGGTGGGAAGAATTGTACAAGGACTGACAGACACACCTTGAAGTACACAGTTCCTTTCTCTTTGACCATGGCAGCCTGCTCCAACTTTTCTTTGGTATCCATCTCCCAGGATTCTTTGGCCTGTGTGTAAATTTGTGATAAGGGTTAGATGAGTAGAGAAGAAAAACCATCTGCTGATGCCCTTAAGAACAAAAAGCAGCCACTTTTAGAAGATAATCCCATGTCAAAACATGCTTGGCTTTTAAAACTGTGAGCCACTCCGAGTTCACTGTTAGACTAGAGTTCTTTATAATGTTACAAGAATTCACTTTCCATAAAAACAAAGCTGTAGCTTGATCTATGTTGCCCAAGCAAGAGGAGTAAGCACAACCATAGTAAGGAACGTAAGTTGTTGAGCACTGTTACAGAGTATGTCTTTAGAATTACAAGTGAGGTCACAGAACAAAAGCTAGATTTCCTCTTGTACATCTCTCCACTAAACTGCTGTTATAATTTCAGCATGCTGTTTCTCTCAAGCCTCCATTTTTTTTTTAATTAAATGTTTTTATTTTGCATTGAGTCAAGCCTCCATTTTTTGACTCTAAAATGGGAACACTATTATAGTCAAGTCCCAGTTGTATATTCATAACGAATTTTCAAAATTCCAGCCAGCCACAAACAACCTGATACACAAAGGCCTCCAAAGAGTGTAATAACTGAAAGATGTGTTTGTGGGGAATTTCAAGTTAAACATGATTAGAAGGATAAAGCTGATACACAAGTATCACTTTAGGACCATTAATAAATGATTTTATTATCACCTGGTAGTTTGTATTTCCTACATTATTATCATCAACCATTATAGACACAAATCCAGAACCAACAGCACTTTCCGTATAATGTGCTGGAGCTAGAAGGATTAGAAAGAATCAGCAGAACAATCTGGGATCCTTTAAGGTAAGTGACACCGGGTATAGTCAATACCATTTGCTGTACATGGATTACAAAGGTGAAGTAGGTAATGAAAATTCTTTCTGTTCAAAACATAATTAGTATTTCTCTCTCTCAACCTTTTCTTCCTTCCTTGCCCTTCCATCCTTTCTTTCTTCCTTTCTATTTTAAAGGCATTAATGAGTCATTAGTCTCCCTGGCAGGGACTCCTGGTGTCACATTATAGGATCAGCAATGGACTGGGAACCATAAGGTCAGCGGTTCAAACCCACCAGCTGCTCCTTGGAAACTCTATACAGGGTTGTTATTAGTCAGAACCCACTCGATGGCATTTAACAATAACAACAAGTCTTTCTGGCAGTTCCGTGTTGTTTCCTAACAATTTAGTTTCATAATTATTGAAAACTGAATAAACGAGCACCCTTTGAATTTCTAATATTGGTTTCAATCTTTAAGGAGAATAAATATATTCTCAGTGCTACAAGGCAGCAAACTAAATCTCATTGTCTTTGACAACATCACATTCCTTTCTCTAGCTTCAAGTCCCCTGAATAGTGGAACATGAGTGGAACACGCTCTTAGCACAATGACACTGAGCAGGCTGGTTGTGGTGCAGCACAGTGAGATGCCCTGCAGTAGTCATGTCCATAGGCCATGGCAGGGAGGGCTACTTTATAAAAACAGAAATAGGGACACCAAAGGGCTAACTAGGCAGATGTCAATGATTATTTTCCCTCTTCTTAACCACAACAACAATAATAGCGAGCATTTGAAGCCTTAGAAGATGAGTGTTGAGCCAGCATCTTCCCCATGATGGCGTGTTCTCAAGAGCATCTGTTTATTGAGGAACATGAGGTATGTGCACAGCAACATTGCTATTGGGGGATGTCCCAGAGACAGACTTCCCTCACTTCCTTAGTCAATAATTGGACAATGATTCCATTTCTAAGTCTAATAAAATATAAACAGCCATGTTTCCAGTCAAAAACTTAACATGGAGGGAGGGAATAGAAAAGGGAATACAAAACGCACTCCTGAAGGGGCCCCAGGAAAGTAGGGCTTTGGCTATAGAGGCGGGATTTAGCTGAAGAAGACAACATAACTGGCTCAGGCATACGATTTGTGCTTCTCCAGTGCTGCTGGGAGCCTCCAGAGGCCCTTGGGAGAGAGAAATATGCTTAAGGAGACAGAAGGTTTCTGGAACCCAAGGCAATTCAAACTCTTTTCTCCATTTGAATAGGCATGTAAACAAGAGGACGAGGGCTGGCAGGTTTGTCTCTTGTGTCCTTTACACTGACCCTGGGCTCCCATGAGGCCTTGCCTGTTAGATAATCACTTGGATCTACGTTGAAGGTCATTTCATGATTCTTGCTATGGGTACACTTGTCGGGCATTGAAAAACGGCACACCACTCCTACGAGGAAATGTTTGGCAAATCCTAAATCTTTTTGTCTTCAACCAGGGGGAAGGAGTACAAAAAGAACAACTCCAGGAACAAATCACGGAACAAGTCTTGGATTCTACTCAAAAAGTAAAAAAAAAGAAAACGGCTGACACATAGGAACAGAGTAAGAACACTGAGCTCTTTAGTTGTGTACGAGGCTGTGGCTTATCAGTTGTCCCATACTCGAGTAGTGACAGAGATAGCAAGCAGGCAAACCTGATCATGAAAAGCACAACATACAAATAAACACCATCTTATAAAATAAGATACTGATTTATAGGAAGTGGATAGAATAGAAATCTACAGGATTTCAGAGAAGTTGGTATAGTCTCACCTTTTCGAAGCTCTTAAGTGTAACTTCATATATAAGATCGGCATTGGGCTCAATGCCAAATTTAGGCTTGCCTGCCTCTCCAAAACCATATCTGAAATGGAGAGTAAACAATACAACTTTAAAAGAAGGCACCTATTCCCAGGCACTTCCTCCGGTATGCATGGTGGGCAGCCACCACGCTAGCACAGAGCCACCATTTGCAAGCTAGGCACATCAGAGACCCTGGAGACAAACAAGGCATTGGTCAGAAGAGATGAGGGGCTTCAAAAAGTTTGTGGAAAAATGGAGTGAAAAGATCATGGAAATTTCCCATAAACTTTTTGAAGTCTCCTCATACAGTATCACTGCTATGAGATTTTTGTTTTTGATACTGGGTTTGATTTAGTTTTCCTTTCTCATCACAACACCTATGTTCTTTGGGGCAGGCTGCTCAATGTGACTCTGAAGGCCACTGCCTTTTTCTCTGGTTGATTATCTATCTACTGTATCTGTAAGTATGCATGCATGCATGTATATCTACATCAGGCATTATTGGGCTATTTGGGTTTTTTCCTTAGGCTTTATCAGCAGAAGGCTGGGCCTGGGAATGCTACAATGGTGCTGGTTAGAGGTGTGGTCTGTATTAATAAGGGGGCGTCATCTTCCAGTGGTACCACTTCCAGTCAGATAAATTAGGGCAAAGGCTAATATCTCAGAGGGAAAATACGTTCTCACAGTATTTCTCTAGGATTTTTTTTAAAAGCACATGGTTACTGTTGTTGATGGTGAGTACCACTGAGTCAATTCCAACTCAGTGATCTTGTACAGACCTTTTGAGGAGCAGCTGGTGGATTTGAACTGCCAATCTGTGGTCAGCAGTCCAGTATTTACCCTATAGTGCCACACCAAGGCTCCAGATATGGATTAAGAAAAGAACGGTCCCAGCAAATGCCACCATCTCTTCAAGAGAAACACTGTCACAGTTCTGGATATGTAAAACACTACACCTTTCAGTCAAACATTACAGAATAAACAACTAGGAATTGATCTTTTTTTTTTTTTTTTTTAGGATATTTAAAATGTTTAACAAGCCAAATGCATTCAAGGAGCAAACATCTACTAGAATGGAAGCTCTAATAGAACTCTGTCTGTCTTGGTCTGTGGCTCCCCAGCATCTAGAACAATGACCAGCATATAGCACTGATCAATGGAAATAGATTCTGTTCACAGTCCTGTCAAGCCAAGTGACTCTTTAATATGCAAAGTGGTATTACAAAAAACTCAAGACATAGTCTCCCTGTTTCTCTTCCCCAAATCTTCAGGGTATGGGTGCAAAGATGTCAACACCAGGTTGATGACAATGCATCCAATTTTCTCTGGGACAGAAGGACTCAAATGAGAACAAGACCACTCACGTCTTACTGCCTGCACCTCTTTTTTTTAACCCTTTGTCTGAATTTCCTGGGAACAATATGTTTACTCACCTCCATTGTTACAAAAGAAAATACAAGCTGGAGCCAGAGAGAGGCATAGAGATGCAATGAGAACTGGTAGGAATGGGGTGTGGTGGTTTTAATAGCAGGGCAAAGGGCATCTTCAGCAAGGAAATAAAGAGGACATAATTCTCAATGGCCAGTTTTAGGAAGTGGTAACTAGATTTCGACTTTGAGCTCTTCAATCTGGGTGTCTCCTATTTTGTTTCTGCCAGCTAGTAAATAAAGAACGTTCCTTAATTGCTGGGAACTAAGGGAGGTAGATGTGTCCTTATTAAGCATGTGCTTGCTGAGAGTAAGTTATCTTTGGACCACTGTGCTCAGCAGACTGAAACGCAACAGTTATTTGGCATGTGCTTTAGACCAATAGTTCTCAACTGGAGTATTTTGCTTGCCATTTTTCTAGGCACATTGTTGAATATCATGATGGGCATCTAGTGAGTAGGGATGCTGTTAAACATCCAACAACACATAGGACAGCCCCACAACAAAGAATTATATTGCAAGATCTGCAGTTCAGACTCACCAGCCACTCTGCAATATACAGAGAAGGCTGTTGTACCCACAAAGATTGAATCTCGGAAGCCCTGTATAGGTTTGCTATGAGTTGTAATCAACTTGATGGCAATGGATTTGGGTTTGGTTTGGTTTAATCTATCAATACGTACCCCTAGTTGACATGTTAAGCTAATGGTGGCACAGTGTAAAAGCCACTCGCTGTTTTATGGGGGAAAGGTACGGCAGTCTGCTTCCATAAAGGTTACATTAGGGTCTTGGAAACCCAAGAGGAGTTCTACTCTGTTTTCAAAAAAGAACATTGTTGTTGTTGTTGAGTGCTGTTGAGTCCGTTTCGACTCACAGCAACCCAATATAGAGTTTCCAAGAGCAGCTGGTAAGGTTTGAATCGCTGACCTGTGGTTAGAAGTCCAGTGCTGATCCTACAATGCCACACGAGGACTCCTAGTATATAATAAAACAGAACAACAACTACAGCAAACTCTAACACTTCATGAGAAACATTCTCACAGTTCTGTAGCTATTACACTGTATGTAAAACACCACACCTTTTAGCCAAAAATTATGGAATAAAATGACAAGGCATATACAAATGTATTTGGGTTGCTCTAAGTTGGCACTGACCCAACATCAATGAGGTAGGTTTCATTTTAATATGTCAGTGACTTGACCTGCTGCTGGGATGGTTTCTCTAATGCATCAACAGTATCGAAGATGAGAAATCCCACCTTACTGGAACAGTGATGTGAGGGGTGGGTTGAGGGAGACGCCCAAGCATACTGGTTATCAATGGGATCAAAGAAGATTGAAGAAGGGCATTGTTTCTAAAATCTCTCCTGGAAGAGACTCTGTCAAACTGTAGACAGAGTACATCGTCCTGAGGCAGGCATTAGCTCATCCAAACTGTTCTGGAAGCATCAAATCTAACTTCCATCTTATATAGAAAGTTGTCTAGCTTTACTAGACTGGCTTGGGCAAGGACCAGGGCACACAAATTCATCTGACTGAAAAACAAAACAGCACAGATGGAACTCCTGGACTTAACCGAAAGACAAGCTAACAAAAAGAATTCTTGATGAATGCCCCTGAACTAACAGTTGCCTCCAGAGAGTAGAGATGCAAATGATAGTTATTAGTGATCATTAAGCCTTTATGGGAGTCCTGGTGTGGCACTGCAGAATAATGCACTGGACTGTAAGGTCAGTTTGAACCACAAGATTGGCAGTTCAAACCCAGCAGCCACTCCTTGGAAGCTCTATGTAGGGTCACTGTGGGTTGGAACCAACTTGACAGCACTTAACAACAACAACAAACCTTTATGAGCATATAAGAAGCACTTGGACCATCTGTTTTTACCAATTACTTCCTTTTTAGAAAGGAAGAAACTAAGGCTCAGAGAGAAATACTTCCTGACTCTCACACAAAAAGGCAGTAACAGAGCAAGGGCCCAGGCCTAGACCCTGTATGTGCCCAGAAACATTGCCTTGTAATTCGACACTATAGCTCTTTGCAATCTCTGTGTTTTTGTTTGTCCATTTGGGGGTCACTGTAGTGCAGGAACATAAGGAAAGGAAAAAGAGAAAAGTTAAAACCAGGCATGTTGTTGTTGTTAAGTGCCGTCGAGTCAGTACCGACTCAGAGCAACGCAGTATAGGGTTTCCAAGGAGCGGCTCATGAACCAACGTCCTTGCGGTTCAAACTGACTTTGCAGTCCAGCACATTAACCCATAATGAAAAAAGACTAATCGATGAAATTCTGAAAACAATAAAAAAGGAAATACTGTCCTGATGAAGAAAGAGAAAATGAGTACTTGCTGATTTCTGCTGCTTTGGAGGTCATATTTATGAATTTCTTAAAATGAAAACATCCTTGTCAGAGAGGCAAAGAAAAAGTGTGCCTTGAAAATCTTTTGGAGAAAAAAACAGAATAACACACAGCCTGTATTTGTGACCGCCATATTGATAGCCACTCAGATGCAATGTTCTACGTCAGTGGGAGTCTGGTTCACTGCTAGCACTCATACCATGCTCACTGTGAAGGGATGTTCTGAATCTGTGCATAACATCACACGGTGCTGTGTGGACCATCTCAGACTGCAGAGTAGGCACTTTACAGAACTCCTCAACACACCGATCAACATCTTAAATAGAAAGTAGCTTCCTTTCTTACTAGGTGCAAAAGTTCGACAAAACCTATGGACAAGTTTTTACACCTAGAAACAGCTCATGAAACCCTGCTGACTATTTATATCACTGAAATTTTCCCAAGAAAGATCTGAAAAATTGACTGTATGTTAGAACAGGATTTCCTTTTTCTTGTGGTCTGAGGGTAAAATGGGAAATAAAGATAATGCCATCACAATAATAGCTAATATACTGAGGGCTTGTGTATGCCAGACACTTCCCTAAATGCTTCCCATGCATTGTCTTATTAGCAGTCCCTCACAACCATGAGGCGGAGCCATCCTTTCACTCCCATTTTAGAGAAGGGAGACTCCTGAGAGTTAACTCAGGGTTCAAGGACACACAGCTGCTAAGTTGCATAGCAGGGTTTAGCCAGACTGTTACCCTCTTTAAAATTCTTCCAAAATGCTCAACCTGGAGCTCTTTTAAGCCTTCACTGAGCTACCTTTGACATAATAGCTTCCTTTTCTCTGCCCTATTTCATTTGCCACTCTTCTAAGGAGCTCTGGTAGCGTAGTGGTTACGAATCAGGTTGCAAATCTCATGGTCAACAGTTCGAAACTACCAGCTGTTCTGCAGGAGAAAGATGAGGCTTTCTGCTCTCGTAAAGATTTACAGCCTCAAAAATCCTGTACAGGGTCACAATGAGTCAGAACCGACTCCATGGCACATAACAACAACAACAACATTGTAGCGCTGTAGCTGTTGATTTGAATCACAAGGTCAGTAGCTCAAACTCACCAGCCAATCCTTGGAAACCCTATACAGGGTCACTATGAGTCAAAACTGACTCGATGGCACTTAACAACAATTCTCCTTGAAACACTAATGAGAAAACAACAATTTCAACTTGCAAGGAACTATCTGCATTCATATACATAAGGCCAAGTCAGTGACAGCAATAGGATAATTTCTGTTTGCCATTAAGCTTAAGGTGTATCTGTCCTCAATGTTGCCTTGTTGACTAGGTTAAAAATGTAGTAACCTGATTCATATATACTCAAAATGTATACAGGACTGATCTTCAAGGAGCGTACATATGAAAGTGCACATTATACACACACACACACACACACATCACTCTCTTTATGAGTTTAGAATTGCTATAGTCGTGCAATGCTATAATTTTGGAACTGCTATCAATTTGGACTGGTGTGACACTATGGGATAAGCATTGGACGGCAGATCAAACCCATCAGCCGCTCTTGGAAACCCTATAGAGGGTCGCTAGGAGTCAGAACTGACTTGATAGCATACGACAACAACAACAAAAACAAAACTGAAAATGATTCAAGATTGTTTGGATATGGAGGAGCTAGCATTCTGGATGCTCTACTTGAGGGGAAAAAGTTCCTTATAGAAAGAGAAAGAAGTTCACCTAAGGGTGAATTTCAAATCTAGAGCCCATGTCAACAAAGCACAATGAAGTGGAAAATATAAGAGTGGAAAACAGAATAGGGCAGAGAAAAACAAGACATTCAAGGAAGAGCACTTTGGAAGGATTTTAAAGAGGGTAATGCTTGGCTAAAACATCATCTGAGAAATATGATCACGGCTCAAGTGTAAGGCACTGGAGTACTATCAAAGCTACACAAAGGCAAAAGACTGTACAAACGGCATAATATTACCTACTGGTCACCAAAATTTCTAGTAACTCAAAATCCTGACTGGACTCCATCATGGAGCCAATAGGAAGATACACTAAATAAAACGATGAACTTTCATGCATACATACAAAGCCAAAACACCCTGCTGTCTCTCGAGGGTCCAAGGACTGGATTCATGGTATAATTTTAGATTAAAAGTAAAATTACTAAAAGTAATACCACACATATTTTCATAAGAGTGAGGTTGTTACGGTCTGATAGTTCTAAGCTTGGACGTGCTAATGGCTATCCTTCTGATGAGAAACATTTAGGCACAAGTGAGTCACTGCAGCCACCTTTCGATCCAGGAAGAATGCTCCTCTTTTATGGGCTCTGAAAAGAACAGGTGGCACCAATTCAAGTGGCAGTAAATCATCCAAATGCTTTGTCTATTCCCAGTCCTCCTGTTTCTACGGCCTCCTGCCTGATTCACAGAAAAAGGAAGAGAGGGCCAGAGAACGACGTGAGAAAGGCCAATAGTTGCCTGTTTTGGCAAGATGAAAGGCAGAACAAACGAAAAAGCAAAACGTGCCTGTCAGTCCTACCTCTTAATACACATCAATCAAGTAGATGCACTCACAATTTGCAACCTTTGTGACTGTAAGGCCTATTCATTCACTGGATGACTAACTGTAGCCTGATTGAATTATTTCCACTGTTGGCATTAACTTCACTGAAAATATGGAATGTTGAAAATGTGAGCTCTGCAGATAACTTCACCGTGTACTGCACTGGTATGCGGCTTACCGTGGTCCAAGATATAAAATACATTGTTCTTCCCGCTGCATTTTCTCCAAGGCTTTGTCAATTCCAATTGGAATGTCGTGGTCTTCTCCTTCACCAACAATGAACACCACATCTCTGCAATCAAACAGCTGGCCACCACAGTGACCTACCAGATGGACTGAAAGAGAGAAGATAAGACAATGAACAAAGCTGCTCCTTAGGACTGGCTAAGTCAATGTAACAAACAGCATTTTCCCTTTCTCATCTCATCAAGACACATACTTGGTATGTCTTGTTGAAGCTTACTATATTCAGTTCTGAACCTTTAAGAACCTCATTTCTTTCTTATAATTGTTAAGATAATTATGATTAGATTTATCATTACTAGTAACTGCATCAATAAGATAGCTTAGTAGGAAATGAAACAAACTGGAAACCAGTTTAACCTAAGCCTACTGCACAGCACAGGTTTCCTCACCAATATCACAGGTTCAAGAAATACTGCACTACTGAATACATAATTAGAAAAATGTCACAGCATTTACATCAAGTATATAATGCTTTAAATGTCTATCTATATTTACACCTTGGCTTCAGATACTTGAATGGAAACATAATTAAGTGGCTATTTCCCAATAATACATAAAGCCTAACTAACTGGATACCGAAGTTTGGGTTTTTGGTTTTTTTTTTTCTTTCACAGCTCTGATACCCATTTCGTCAGCCAAAACAAGGCCAGGGGCAGCCTGGAGAACAAACCATCAATTTAGCAAGTTCACGCTAAAGCTGAAGAAAATTAAAACAAGTCCACAAGAGCCAAAATACAACCTTGGACATATCCCACCAGAATTTGGAGATCATCTGAAAAACAGATTTGGTGCACTAAACCCTAAAGACCAAAGACCAGAGTTGTGGGATGACATCAAGAACATCATACAGGAAGAACGCAAAGGTCATTAAAAAGACAAGAAAGAAGGAAAAGACCAACATGGATGTCAGAAGAGACTCTGAAACTTACTCTCCAGCGTAAAGATGCTAAAGCAAATGGAGAAAATGAGGAGGTAACGAAGCTCAATAGAACATTTCAAAAGGAAGCTCAAGAAGACACAGTAAAATATTATAATGAAATGTGACAAGATCTGGAAGTAAAAAAAAAAACAAAAAACAAAATAGAAGAACAGCCTCAGCATTTCTCAAGCTGAGGGAACTGAAGAAAAAAATTCCAGCCTCGACTTGAAATATTGAAGAATTCTATGGGGAAATACTGAATGATACAGAAAGTATCAAAAGAAGGTGGAAGTAATAAACAGAGTCACTGTATCAAAAAGATATGATCTATATTCAACTATTTCAAGAAGTTGCATATGATTACAACCCAATGATAAATGAAGGAAGAAGTCCAAGCTGCACTGAAGGCAGGGACAAAGAACAAAGCTCCAGGAATTGATAGATTACAAATTGGAATCTTTTAACAAATTTATGCAACACTGGAGGCACTCACTCATCTATGACAAGAAATTTGGAAGGCAGCTACTTGGCCAACTGATTAGAAGAGATCCGTATTTGTGCCCATTCCAAAGAGAGGTGACCCAATAGAATGCGGAAATCATCACACAATATCATTAATATCACATGCAAGTAAAATTTTACTAAAGAGAATTCAAAAACAGCTATAGCAGTACATTGACAGGGAGCTGCCAGAGGTTCAGGCCAGATTCAGACAAGGATGTGGAACGAAATAGCATTGCTGATGTCAGATGGATCTTGGCTGAAAGCAGAGAATACTAGGAAGATGTTTACCTGTGCTTTATTGACTATGCAAAGGCTTTTGATTGTGTGGATCACAAAAAACTATGGACAACATTGTGGAGAATAAGCGTTCCAAAACACTTAACTGTGCTCCTTAGGAACCTGCATACAGACCAACAGGCAGTTGAGGCAGTTGTTCAAACAGAACAAGGGAACACTGAATGTTTTAAAATAGGGAAAGATGAGCACCAGGGTTGAATTTTTTTACCATACTTATTCAATTGTATGCTGAGCAAATAATTCCAAAAGCTGGATTATATGAAGAACGTGGCATCAGGCTGGGAGGAAGATTCATTAACAACTTCAGATATGCAGATTGATAGATACAATTTTGCTTGGTTAAAGTGAGGAAGTCTTGAAATACTGATGAAGATCAAAGACCACAGGCTTTGGTAAGGGTTTCACCTCAATGTAAAGAAAACAAAATTCTTCACCATTGGACCAATAAATAACAAAAGGACAAATGGAGAAAACATTGAAGTTATCAGAGACATTTAATCATGGAAGCAGCAGACAAGAAATCAAATGACATATTGCATTAGGCAAATCTTATGCACAAGATCTCCTTAAAGTGTTCAAGAGAAAAGATGTTCGTTTGAGGACTAAGGTGCGCCTGACCCAAGCCATGGTATTTTCAATAACTTCATATGCATGTGAAAGTTGGACAATAAATAAAGAAGACTGTAGATGATAAATGCATTTGAATTATGGTGGTGGGGGACAATATTAAAAATACCATGAACCGCCAAAAGACCAAACAAATCTGTGTTGGAAGAAATAGAGCCAGGATGCTCCTTAGAATCCAGGATAGCCAGACTTCATCTCTCATACTATAGATATGTTATCAGGAGGGACAAGTGCCTGGAGAAGGACATCATGCTTGGTAAAGTGGTAGGTCAGTGAAAAAGAGGAAGACCCCCAACAAGATGGATTGGCACAGCAGCAACAGCAATGGACTCAAGTGTAACAACAATTGTGAGGTTGGCGCACGACCAGACAGTGCTTCATTTTATTGTGCATCAGGTTACTGTGAGTCAGTACCGACTTGCCAGCACTTAACAACAACAACAACAACAACTTATTAAAATAAAAATAGAAAATCCAAAGGCAACATCATCAATAAGCTACTTAGCCATATCTGTTACACAAGTAATAAATATTAAGTGTGAAGGAATCAAAAGTGTTTTAAATGTTCACAGGTCAATCCACCTAAGTGAGGTAATCAGTTTCTCCATTCACATTTACTCAGCTCATTCCCAGGGTAATTTCATGCTAGATAATGGACCTTCCCCAACCAGATGGATGGACGGAGTGGTAAAAACAATGGGCTCAAATGTAACAACAATTGTGAGGACGGCACAGGACTGGACAGTATTTCATTCTGTTGTGTATAAGGTCGCTATGAGTCAGAACCAACTCTACGGCACCTAACAACAACAAGGGTCCTTTATCTTATATCAAGACAAAAACAGGAAAACTGCATAGAAATGTATTTTTTTCTTGGTCACTTAGGCATTTTTCCTAGGATAAAGAATTCTCTGAAATTGTCCCAATATTTTTAATATTAAGTTTACTTATTCCTTTTCATTCAGGTGTTTTATTCTGTAGGAGAAATGGGTGTTGCTAGCACAACAGTCACTAAGCAATACACTAATTTGTCTTTCACAAAATAGGTCTTTATTCCCGCATCTATAATACAGCTGCCTGGTTTCCTAAAATGTCTCTTTTCTAAGACTGATTGATCTACTTTAAACCAATAACTTGCTTTAAAGAATGATTTGTTCTGTTATACTTTTCTCATGCCCAATAAGTTATTATTGTCCAACAAATTAAATTCCTACTCTACTTTTGAACTACATGATCACAAAGGTCTCCTGAATTGCTAAGATTCTATGACCCAGTAATATAACTCTTAATATAGGCAAGAAAACATCTTCACAGCTAATTCCTGTAGTTAATCATTTGATCAGATTACCTTTAGCCCAGACCTGGGAAACTTTGACAAGTAAACAGTAGTGTTGTAGTTGTCTGATTACAACTCTAACAGTCTTGTGTAGGGTTTTCCAACACTGTAAATCTTTATGGAAGCAGCAAGCCTCGCCTTTTTTCCACAGAGAGGCTGGTGGGTTTGAACTGCTGACCTTATGGTTAGCAGTCCAGTGTTTATACTACAGTGCTACTGGGGCTCCTTTAGTAGAAACACTAAAGACCAAAATGTCACCTGAGCATTATTCTTTGAAGCTCTTCACCTTTTTCTAATTCACTAAGATTAATATTCTGGTTAGTCCCATCACAGACACAGGAAGTTTGGGCCAAACTAAACCAGGCCTGACTCTGAAGTCAGCCTCCTCCAGAGAAGGGCTGGGGCTACACTGGCTCTTGGGGTGGAGCTGGCTTATAGGCATTTTGTTCTATGTTGCATATTAACAAACACAGATGATTCCCTCTGTTACACTCACTTCTGAAACACTTGGGATAAAATAAAACTTAACTTGCAGCAAATTGAAAGTTTTTCTGGATTGGAAAATATTTTAAAAATAAATACAACTTTCTTATTTTCAAATTCTCCAGGGAGTCTAAGGCTTACAATATTTTAACTAGAGTAAAAGCTTATGTTTCCAAAGGGGTTGAGAATTCTTACAAACTTGTGTTACTAAATATTTTTAAATCTGCCCAAGAAATTTAATGCAGACACTTTTAATGGATGATCTTTTCATGAAAAATGATTTGCTGAGCAGAGTGACTTCAGCTGATGCTATGTGGAATCTTTCCAATGAGAAGAAGACTCAGTATCCTAACAGCTCACAACTAGTTAATAGGTCTTTTTGTCTAAGGCTCATTGTTAGAAGTATCATCTTCCTCCCCAGAGGAGAGTACATTTAGTCGGGGAGGAAACTATCAGTACATTGGTTGTGGCTTTTGGTTGATCAACTTTGAATATGTTTTCAAAACAGGAAATCCAGAGACTCTGAAAAGGATTCCAGCCTATGTGTCAGTTTCCTAGGCTAGTTTTAAGCTTGATCCATGTACTTGATATTAAAATTATATATAAATAATCTCAGAAGTGCTCTTTAGAAGTGATAACACATCATATTAAAATAAAATAAAAAGACTGGCTATTAATAAACATGCTTGCAAAAATAACTGAAGCAAAAAAAAAAAAATGTTCCAGTCAAACTATAAGACAGCAAAACAAAGCATTCATTGTACCTGATTTCTCTCAGAGAAATAGTAAAAGTACCGATGTTTGTGGTCACCTAATGGTGTGGCACTGTGGGTTAATGCGCTGGACTACAGAGTCAGTTTGAACTGAGAAGCTGGTGGTTCAAGCTCATCAGCTGCTCCTTGGAAACCCTATACAGTGTCACT